CAACAGAAATTGGAAAGAAAGAAATTATTTGCAAAAGTCACAAATGTAATTTTTTTGTTATTTACGCTATCCATAGCCTTTATCATGTCTTCGGAGTTCCATTGTTTCCTTAAATTCTTTGGTAAAAACTTTGGTTTGTTACGTGGCATGGTCAACCTGGAAAAAGAACTGAATTCAAAATCAGGGGAGAATATAGGCCCTGGCCCATATTCGGACCCACAAAAGGCCCATATTACCAGCATTGCATGTCATTCAACAATAGATACCTATTATTTGTAGAGTTTAAGTGAATCAAAATATTTTCTGAACAAAACAAACTTTGATCTTTATACAAAATATCTAGGTGAATATATAAACATACCTAGTCACTAAAAATCGTATAAAACATAATAACAACTTACCTTCAGATAATATTCAGCATTCCAGTAACACATTCACCACCACTTATATATAACAATATAAGAAATCAATTGCACAATGTCGGTAAAACAGTTCGTTACTAGGTAGCTGTCTTTTAAAGTATTATTCAGTGATGCCGCTAGATGTTCTAGTAGGAATAGCCATGAGCATGGGGCCCATATTAAGTACATGGCCCATATTCGGACCTTCTCCTCTACCGTACTCGGATTCGGACTCGAAATAAATATTGCGGTTTGAGAATTTTAATATTTTTTTCTCCAAGTCCCATTTATTGATTGATATTTGATTGTCTTGAAGTATATCACAACTTAATAGTAGAGTTGTTTCAAAATCTTATGAGCTTTGACCTTCATATGCGCAGAAACATAATTCCGACCGTCGCCTAAATTATTCTACGTCCTAAAAACATTACATCTATTATTCACAGTCTATCTCGAGCTCTCATAGCGTAAACAAGCCTTTGATCTGATTACAAATATCATAATAAAATGCCCTATTCTTTGTTATTTTAATTTAAGCAATAAAAAAATATATAACGAACGTTCGCCAGTTCTTTTCTGGAGTCAATGTTTTCACACCATGCTTATTAGAAGAATTATGCGGATACGCCACGCCTTTCGCGCATTTCGCGGCTCATTAGATATTGAAACTACTCTACAGATTTCATTTTTTGTCAACGTCCAGCAGTCTGTAGTCAAACATACATTTAATTAAAAATATTTTTATTTCTTGTTTAGCATCTTGTAAGCATTTTCCATATTCAATTGCGAAACAGTTGATAATCTAATATAAATAAATCTAGCAAATAAGTGTCTATTTTTTTGCCGTTACTGACATATTTTTAGGTATATAATAGGCCAGGAAAAATCTGGGAAATGAACGTTTCGCGACTTTTTGTTTCGGCAAGCGGAATTTATCACTATAGATACTAAATAGTATGTACAATAACATATTAGCAGAGAACACTATAGCAACAAGAAGCGACAGAATCGGCGGCTCCTTTGATGTTTTGTGGTCACGCTAGAGTCGACCGATTTGACGGAAACAAAATCGTTTACACCGAGAGAAGTTACACTTTTGAATAGATGTACACTGAACGAACTGCATGAGTATCAAACATTGTTCATATAATACAAGGATAACTGGGGTAAAATGTAGACAAATTAGGTATAATATTGTCACGAAATTTACGTGGTGACAAAACCCTGGGTTCGATTAATTAATACACTGCTTGATAATTAAATATTTATTAACTAATTACACCAACTAATTACTATTATCACTATACTGCACAATACTTCACTCTACAATCGCTTTACTAATACTTCCAAACACTTCGAACGCTTTACCAATACTAATACTAATACTGCTCTATACAAAACAAGCAAATTAATTTATATCCTCAACGAAAAATCTAGGCGCGCCGCGTTAAATCTAAGAATGCTTCCAAACAATTCTCGGCGGTTCGGTTATACCCTGAACGAACATTCTAGGCGCGCCGCGTTAAATCTAAGAATGTTTCCAACCAATTCTAGGCGGTTCGGTTCGCTTCGCTTCGCAGTTGATAATCTAATATAAATAAATCTAGCAAATAAGTGTCTATTTTTTTGCCGTTACTGACATATTTTTAGGTATATAATAGGCCAGGAAAAATCTGGGAAATGAACGTTTCGCGACTTTTTGTTTCGGCAAGCGGAATTTATCACTATAGATACTAAATAGTATGTACAATAACATATTAGCAGAGAACACTATAGCAACAAGAAGCGACAGAATCGGCGGCTCCTTTGATGTTTTGTGGTCACGCTAGAGTCGACCGATTTGACGGAAACAAAATCGTTTACACCGAGAGAAGTTACACTTTTGAATAGATGTACACTGAACGAACTGCATGAGTATCAAACATTGTTCATATAATACAAGGATAACTGGGGTAAAATGTAGACAAATTAGGTATAATATTGTCACGAAATTTACGTGGTGACAAAACCCTGGGTTCGATTAATTAATACACTGCTTGATAATTAAATATTTATTAACTAATTACACCGCCTTAATATTGTTTGGTACACCTGTACTT